ACGACTGAAGTGACTTAGCAGCAGCATTGTTGCGCAGCAGAAGCCAACACAATATTGTAAAGCAATTGTCCTCCAATTAAAAAAAACAAAACTGAGTGGCAGGGAGGGTGAACATTTGCAACACTTTGTCCATCAGAGAGTCAGAACTCAGATCTCTGACCCCTACACCTATGCTTTTCCTTTTCTGAGCTTCTGAACACATTCCACCATCATCTCCTTGTTCTATTCATTCCCCTCATTGATCAATACTTCCAGCATTTATTTCCGGTTGCTCTAAGGCTTCAAAGACCCTGAACCCTTGAATTACATTTATGTAGTTCAGTCATGGCTCTGCAGCACCCCCTTTCCCTGCCCCATTCTGAGGTTGAAAATCAATTGCTACCAATATTTTTGCAACTAAGAAAAACTAGGAAATAAGTAAAGTGGATGTCCAAGGGACTGTCTGTATAGACTGCTTCCATAATTAAGCTCCCCTTGGAATTTCTGTGACTGGAGGCAGATTATTGCTAGTCTGGTCCACTGTACCGTGAGAAGACGCAAATGTGCATCCATGGCCTGCTGAACTCAAGAGCATCTCACCTGCCACCTGAACTCCTCAAAGCCAATGCTCAGCTGTTTTTCCCTTGACTTGACTGATAATCTCAGGTCAGACAAGGCCTTGGTTTTGTCCCCTGTTCCCACCTGGCTTTCTCAGAACTGAGTCCCCCTAGCTCAGAGTAGCCAGTTTCCTCATTCTTTCAACTTCTCATTCTTTGTCCAAGCAAGCTGTTTTTTCCTCCAACCTAAAATGCCAAATTAGTATTTATTTTCCACATTCTTATCTTGATCGTCTTTTGGGTGGGTTTATTTGTGTTCTCAAACAGATGCTGGAGGACAAAGCCTGACTTTGATCTGCTTTCTGGCATCACATGTAGCTTGTTAGGGACCAAATATGTGTCCCCCACCCCCTTCCCATGCTGAAACCCTAGTTCCAGTGTAGCTGTATTAGGTGATGGGGCTTTCACAGAACTAATTAAGGGTAAATTCATAAGGTCATAAGGGTGAGGCCCTGATCTGATAGGATGGGTGTCTTTATAAGAAGAGGCACCAGAGAGCTTGTTGTTTCTGTGACGGTAGCGCCAAGGAAAGCCCATTTCTGGACAGAGTGGGAAGGCAGCTATCTACAGGCTAGGAAGAGAGCCTTATCCCGGAACCAAATCAGCTGGAACCTTGATCGTGGACCTCCAGCCTCCAGAACTATAAGAAAAGAAATCCCTTTTACTTAAGCCACCCAATGTATGGTATTCCATTATGGTGGTCTGAACTTATTAATACACAACTGTTGATTGAGAATGTGGTTCCCAGCCTCAGAGCTGCTTCTGCATGAAAAGCTAACTAACTTTGCAGAATCCCAAAACTAACCTTCCTTTGCTTCCATCATTCAGGAACTCCCATCCTTGCCTCACTGTTTGTGACATCCTCTTCCCAAGTGAGAACAAGGATCTGCGCTGTACTAAGTTGCTTCAGTCATGTCCGACTCTTTGCGACCCCGTGGACCGTAGCCCAACTGGTTCCTCTGTCCAAGGGATTCTCCAGGCAAGAATACTGCAGTGGGATTGCCATTTCCTTCTCCAGGGGTCTTCTCGACCCAGGAATCGAATCTGTCTCTCTTATGTCTCCCACATTGGCAGGTGGGTTCTTTACCACTAGCACCACTGGGGAAGCCCTTCCCAAGTGTGAACCAGGTTCTGAACCACAAGCAAATCTTTTACCTCTTTGTCTACGCTGCCTCTGGTATTCCATTAGATGTCCAGTCTTCAGAATGTCTGGCCCGACACCTCTTGTATCTCCTTTTCCCAGGCCTTATTACCCTGTCCTGCGCTCTTGAGATGTCCTCTTAACAGTCCTCACTGCCATCATTATCTAGCACACAGAAGAGGAAATGGCAGAGGCTCAGAAGTAACACATGCCAGCTTGCATAACTGATAAATAATAGAACTAGGTTCAAACTCAGTTCAGTTTTGCCCCTAGTCCAGTATACTTGCTGCTAACTTGTTTAGCGGTCTTTCTATATCTCTAGGCTTTTTAATGTTCTGCCTTTAACTGGAGTGATTTATGAAACTGTCCTACACCCGTTAGCAGATGGTAAGCTCTTGGAAGGTAGCTTGTCTTGATCGCCCTTATACCCTGGGTGCTGGCTAAGCCCTTGCCCTGGGGAGGGACTTAAGAAAAGGTACTGAATTGAAATAAGAGACAGTCATCACAATGCTGATACAGGGAAGAGTAGCTTAGGAGATTTAGAAAAAGCTGGTAGAAAGAGGAGTCAGTTTCTGGATTGAACTGGAGGTGATGAAGAGAATTTGGCTGGGCAAAGAAGGGGGTGGCCTGGGGTGGCCTCGGTGTCATGAAGTTGCAGTTGAGGCAGACGGTGAACTTGTGGGCTTGCCTAGTGGCTCAGGTGGTACAGAATCTGCCTGCCAATTCAGGGCACACAGGTTCCATCCCTGGGTCGGGAAGATCCCCTGGAGAAGGAACTGGCTACTCACTCTAGTACTCTGCCTGGAGAGTCCCATGGACAGAGGGGCCTGGCGGGCTGCAGTCCATGGCGTCATAAAGAGTCGGACACAACTGAGTGACCAACACAACAACAGTGAATCTGTGAAAGGAGGCTGACTTGGTGGACCCTGGAGTTTCTGCATTGGGTTCAGCTGTGGACACCTGTGAACACCGAGCAGGTCAATTAATTTCTTTAGATGTTGGTTTCCTAATGCAGGGATCCCCAACCTCTGGGATCTGATGTTGATGATCTGAGGTGGAGCTGATGTAACAATAATAGAAATAAAGTGCATAAGAAATGTAATGCATTTGAATTATCCCCCAATCATCTCCCCCATCCCCCATCCATAAAAAAACTGTCTTCCACGAAGTCGGGTCCTGGTTCCCAAAAGGTTTGAGGCCGCTCTCCTAATGTGTAAAGTAAGAAAAGTAAGAGTACCTACCATTTTGGGTTAATGTGAAAAATAAGGAGGAGAGCATATGTAAAGGATTTAGTACATTGTTTGGACCCAAAACATGTTACCTATTATTAATAATAAATACTACTAAAATACTATTACGAATACTACAATCTGAAAGTTCACACTGATACCAGTCTAACTCTCTGAGTAAATTATTTACTTTATACTCATAGATAAGTCCCCTGGTGTTGGTAGATTAAAAAACAAAATTATTTAAAAGCACCACTAAGAATTCCCTGGCAGTCCAGTGGTTAGGACAAGGTGCCTTCACTGACATGGCCTGGGTTCAATCTCTGGTTGGGGAACTAAGATCCCACAGGTCGTGCAGCGCAGTGCCATGCCCCCCTCCCTCCTTCAAAAAAGGCACCATTAAATTCATAGAAACACTTTGCTTACTATGATTTTCCTGATCAATGGATTCCAGGAGTCCCTGAATATATTTTAGCCTTATGAGAGACTCTCAGAGTTGAGAATCTTGGAGTTTTGGGAGATGGAGGAGTGGGAAACATTGTTCTGATACAAGACTAACTTGGCTGAGGCACTTGGTTTGGGAACAGGCTGGTGGGAGTCCCTGCTCCACTTATGGGCTATGCCTTTAAAGACTTTAGGAAAATCCCTTCTCTTCAATACTTTGGCCACTCCACTGGATGTGAACAGCTGACTCTGATGATCAGCTGACCCTAATGCTGGGAAAGACTGAGGGCGGGAGGAGAAGGGGTGACAGAGGATGAGATGGTTGGATGGCATCCCTACTCAATGGACATGAGTTTGAGCAAACTCTGGGAGACAATGGAGGAGAGGGAAGCCTGGAACGATGCAGTCCATGGGGTCACAGAGTCTCTTGGACCTGACTGAGAGACTGACCATCGGCTCCTTTTTCAGCTTCCTCAGCCCCAAAATGAGGTTATCACCACCCTAGGGCCATTGGAGGGGTTCAGTAGACACTGTGTGCAAACTAAGAATTGGTAGATAATGATGCCGGTGAAGCCCAATCACAAAGGGCCTTGGAGTTTCATCCTGTGAGGCCCCAGTTCTCAAACTTCCCATCACAGCAACTCAGCATCGCCACCTGTACAGAGAATGAGGCTTCTCAGGCCTACCCCACACCCCAGATCAAACTCTGGAGGTGGGGTCGGCAATCCGCGCTTTTGCAATCCCTCTCGGTGATTCTTGGACCTTCACGTTTGAGACACTCTGTGAGGGAATACGGAGCCATCAGGGTGTTTGGCCAGTGGAGTGACAGCGATACAATGACTGTTTGCAGACCATTTATTCACGTTCAACAGGATGAAACTGTCTAACTGCTGACTGGCTTCCAAAGTTGCCGGAAGAAGTCCTGTCCATGGCTCCTCCGCGATATCGAGGCACAGAACTTGGGTTAAGACTCCTGGTCCACTCCTCGTCCGGAGTGAGGAACTCAGCACAAGGCAGTGAAAGGAGCGGTTCGGATTCAGTTTCCGCTCAAAGTCTCGGGACCCGTCGGCCGAGTGATGCTCGGCGAATCCCCAACTACAACCAGGTCACCGGTTCAGCCTGGAAAAGAAGAGAAAGGACCAGAGAAGCCGGTAGGGAAACCGGAAACGAGGGTCTTCAGGGGCCAGACTCGGCGGTGGGGGATGCGATAGGAGGAGAGGGGGGCGCGGGCGCCGGGAGGACCCTCCCGCTCGGGGATNCCGCCCGGGCCCCACCCCTGCTGGAGATTCGCGCGGCTGCCCGCGCCCCCCGCCCTGCCGCCTCCGGGCGCGAGCGCGCTTCCGCCCGCTTTTCCTGCCAGAGGAGGAAAGGGGGAGCTGTTCGCTCTCCTCCGAGTACGATTTCGGTGTCCCGTGTCTCCTCCTCCCGCGCCGCCGCCGCCCGGGACCCCCGGTCCTCGGATCGCTGCCCTCGGGCTCCGGCGACCCCACCGCGCGAAGCCCACCGCTGGGGTCGCCGCCCTTTCTCTCCGGCTGCCCTGCTTCTTTATTCATTGTTGTGCTGCTTTCCGACGCTCACCCCTCCCCTCTTTCTCCTCCAGGATCCGGCGGGGATTTTCGAGCTGGTGGAAGTGGTGGGAAATGGCACCTACGGACAAGTCTATAAGGTCGGTACGGGCGCCTCCTTTGTTTCCCGGGGACGGGTTGAAACTTCTGGTCCGGGGGCGCCGGGGGATGGACACGCCGCCGCCCGGAGGCCACGCCGCACGGCTGAAGTTGGGAGAAGGGGCTCGCCTCGCCGTCCCGCTGTTTTTTAGCAGAGTTTATATTCACACTGGCCTGAAAAGACCTCATTTCCTGGCTCTCAGATAAGGAAATAACGCTCCACTCTAGGACATGCACTTCCATAAAATGGGAAAGCGTTTTTTTTTTTTTGCCTCAGACAGCATCCATGTGTCCCCCCCCGCCGCGTTTTTCCCAGATCTGGCCTTCGGAGTTGGTGTGTTCATTAAAATTCAGAATAGGCAGGCCTTGCCTGTGATTATCCCAAAGCACTGCCTTGGCCTCCTTGAGAATTGTCTTCGTGTTGCCTCGTTTGAATGCTTGCCGGGAGTCCAGGGAGCGGAGTTTGCTGATACCTGGTTTTGCTTATCACCCGCATACGTTCTACCGATGGGCGCATATTTGGGGGATCAGGGGAGGGCTGTGTGTTTGGGTAGCAGGAGCAGGAAGAATTACAGGGTGAGGATTATACAGTCTGAATTCCAGGAATAACCTGTTTGACAGGTGTGTAATTGAACCAGAAATGAGACAGAGCCCAGGAGTGGCGAGGGTGCCCAGATTTCACACCTACCCCAGGTCTTTTTCTCTTTCTTTTAACACGCGCCCCCCCCCCTCNTGAAACTAACAGATTCGGAGAGTGAGTCGGCCCGGCCCCGAGTAACAGACACCTGATGAGACTAAGCGTGTTGCTGGTCTGATTCTGTGCACATTGTGGCGATTACAGAGAACTCTGGCTAATGGAGGCACTGGGCCTTGAATGTTTTGCAACAGAATGTGAAATTCTCCGTGTTCTGATTTGTTTCTTATTACTGAAGGCTCTCTCCAAGTTATCTGCACTACACCAGGGGTGTTCATAGCTGTTCCCTGTTTTCTAGTTGGATTGGGATAGAAGAAGAAAAAAAATCTTCTGAAGCAGGGCTTTGTGGTTCGCTGTGAAGAATTGTCATTGTCTGGTGAGAAGTGGAGGAGGGGGGGTTAGAAGCTGACTGTAGACATTTTCTTTGGCCAGATTAAGTGTGGATCCCATTGTCCCTTTTTCTGCCCTATGAATAGGGTTTATCTATACACAGCTCCAACTTTCCCCCGATCCCAGCCGTGTACTGGCTTGTGGTCTGAACTGGATGGAGTCCGTCTTTTTAGGTGATCTCAAGTGAATCAGCATGTGTTCTGTTGGCTAACAGTTGGGGCCAGGGCCAGGTTTTTGAATTTGAAAGAGAGCCCTGTTAAGCTCGGCCTGCCGGGCTCAACTGAATTTGGAAGCTTTTGGAAAATTTTGGAAACGGTCATGTTGCAACTCCCTGAGTGGTCTGCTAACTGGTTCCAAGACCGTTCTCCCCAGCCTCAGTGTTTGTTTAAGCACTGGTTGGTTTTTCCTAACTGAGTTTTTCTGGCCAGATCCGAGTGGTGACCGTCCTCGTCCAAGTGAGTTAGCCAGGGCTTGTTTTTGACCTGGTTACACAGAAGTTGGATTGTTTGGGTCTTCAAGGGTCAGCATGAATGTGAAGGCTGGTGGAAGTAGACCAGAAGCTGTCATTTTTGTTTTTAAACTGTAAGAGAAAAAGAGTGAACCCTGAATGTGTCTTCATGGGTTTAGGAGCTGGGGGTTCTTAGTGGGAGCAGCTGGGGCAGGTTCACTCCCAAGGTTTCCCCTGCTCCTTCCCTCTGGTTCCATACTCTTCCCGAAAGCTTTTGGGATCGATTTGCTAAGCACCAGGTTTGGAAAGCCACTGGGATCAGGGCAGTAACAGGGTCTCTGGCTCTCTCCTTACAAAGTAAATACAATTGAGAAGGAATTCTGAAATTATACAAAGCCGAGGAAACTATAAGAAATCTGTGCAACAATGGCCTGCAGTCTGAAGCAGGAACAGGGGAGCTTTTGCTTGCCTGCAGTTGTTTTATTATTACGGAGAATTTGAAACAGACACTGGCGAGGGAGAGGAAGAGGACAGCACCGGCTTCACGGTGACCAGCACATGACTAATCTGGTTTTTTCTGCTGTCCTTCTCCCACCTCCATTATCTTCACATAAAACTCAGATGCCATTTCCCCATAAATACTTCAGTTGGTGTCTTTTTTTTTTTTTTTTAGGTAGTCTCCATGCTGTTCTCACACCAAAAAAACTGAATTCCTTCCTAGCAAATGTTCAGTTTTTCTTTTTTAAATTGAAGTCTAGTTGATTCGCAGTGTTGTGTTAATTTCAGATGTACAGAAAAATGATTCCCTTATATGTATATGTGTGTGTATGTAAGTATTCTTTTCCAGATTCTTTTCCCTCGTAGATTATTACAGACTATTGAGTTACCTGTGCTATGTAGTAGGTCCTCATTAGCTGTCTTATGTATAGTAGTGAGTATATGTTAACCCCAAACTCCTAGTTTATCCCCCATCCCTGCTTTCGTAACCATAAGTTTGTTTCAGATGTTCCATGCTAAATTTTCCTGATCGTCTTATATATGTTTTCTTACTCTCATGATAAAGTCTTTCATAGTTTTGAACTGACCCTGGGAAGTTGAGTCTCTGGTGGAAAGAGCAGAAACCGTTAACATCTCCATTTTTTCCCTCCCTTTGTTGTTATTTCTAGAACCATTTTCTTTCTTTCTTTTTTTTTTCCTAGAACCATTTTCATCATGCCCAGAAGTGTGTTTAGGGTTTCTGTTGGCATGATTTGCATACAGTGGTTTTGTGATTAGATTATTGACACTCTAGCATTTGTTTGCTCTTCCTGAACATCCATCAGTGTGACTAGTGTCAGAGTTTGGAAATTAAAAGAACAATTGTAGGTGAAACATGTGTAAGCTGAGCAACCTGTAGTCCTAGTTTATTTCATTGTTAGATTTTCTGTTTTTTATTTTTTTCTGTGAACTTTTTTAGTGATTTAGTGGTTGCTTATTTTTAGAAGATTGTGTTTACATGAGGTGGATGAGTTGAGAGAGGGAGTTTGCTGAGTTTTGATATGTTCTATGAAAATGGCTTTCTTGGGAAGAGTTTAGAATTTGCTCCATTCCTGACTAAAACGGTATAGTTGAACAGTACATAACTTTATTTTTAATAAAAGGATGTGAGACATAGGCTGTATTCTATCTAGATAAACTTAGTTTTTGCTTTAGGTTTTTGAGTGATCATAGGGAAGGATACTCATAAATTAAAAAGTGAAAAACATTGTGAATTTCTGTTTGCAGGGTTTTATTTGGAGTACCATACATTTGTAAAAGAAGTGTCTGTAAAATGTTCCTGTGTGTGTCAAGTAGTGCATGTAGTAGATGCAGTGAATTTTAATTATTGTCATCCAAAGGGGGAAATGATAATGGGAAGAATCCAAACCAGGACTGATAGATCGAAGTTCATTTTTGTATCATTGGAGTTTGTTATTTTTAAATTTGGCCGGTTTTGTTTCTTTTCTTGGGGTAGCTACTCTTATTTTGCTTTTTGTGAGCATTCAGTGGCCAGTGGTCCAAAATGTCTTGGATAAAGGCAGGAAAATCCTGCACTGGAGAGGCCTGGGGGGTGGGGGTGGGGTGAGGGGGTGGTTAGGGAGCTGAGAATCCAGCAGCCCCCTTGCCTGGAGTCAGGGCTTCCTCACTGGAGGGATGATGAGCATCTTGACTTTGATTCTGTTCTTCTGGGCTGGAGGCCTTGAAGGCTGAGGAGGAGGAGGCTCCTCCAGGCCTGAAGATGATGAGTAGAGTAACCTGAGAGTTGGCCACCTGTTAGGCGCTGTGCAAATGCCGTCCCCCTCTTTTATTGAAAGTGGGGTGTGTGTGGCCAAAGGTGACCCTCTGAGAGTGGCAGGAGGGCTCGGGGGTGGTGGGCATCTGGAGGAGGGTTTATTCCTGTTGGTGTTGAGAATGCCCCTAGTTCCTTAACATCAAGGATCCACTGGAAGTTTGGGGGTCTCTGAGAGTAGGAGGCTTGCTCAGGTTTGAAGGAGGAGAAGGTGAGATGGTTGGCCTGGATCAGTGGTCCAGGAGAGAGGAGGGGAAGGCCAGGCCTGGGCAGGGCAAGGCAGGGCAGCGGAGAGAAGAGTGCTGGAATGAGTACTTAGGCTTATTTCCTTGATCAACTCACTCCCTGTCTGCAAGCTTTGGTGTGATCCTTTACATGGGGCCACTGTTTTCCCGCTGGATGAGAAGGAGCCTTGGGATTTGTGAAAGTGCTGAAATTGCTTTCGATTGCTCCGCAGTTCCGCAGTAAAAGTGCCATGTAAATTGTGTAGCTTTAAAAAATCATCAGTGTAACATTTTGGAGCAGGCACTTAAACTTTTGTGGGGGGGGGGAGGGGAGGCTGGTTTCTGCAAATGTTACCCTGTCAGGGTAGTGACTCTTGCTCTTAATTAGAGGTAAAGACATTCACTGGGGCACAATGAACTTTGTAGAACTGCCTGTTTTCCTTAAGAGGAGGGTTGATCGGCCTCTGAGTGGCATGTACAGACTTGTTCAGAGACACAGAGTTCCTTCCTGCTGGAAAGATTCCGGGCGGGAGTTTAAGGGAGGTGGAGAGGACACACAGAGGCAAGTGGCTCTCTTAAAAAAAATTATCAACCCAAACTTCCAAAAACTGTTTTGAAATGAAACTAAATCAGGAATGTCAAAAGCCTTGTAGAAAAGCCAACCATCAGATAACACCCTGCTGATGGTAGTTTTTTTTTTTAACTCTTTATTCCTTGAAACTTTGTAATACAGTGTTTATTTCTGTAGCTGGCAGAGTTGTATTTTGCCTCCCCCTAACCCCCAATGGATCTCAGATATATGTCTGTTTCTGTGTATTGACATTATCCAAAAATATTATCCGAGGGCCCTTTTGGTACAGAGTGTGTGTTCATAGATTTTTGTGGACTGACCCTGGAAAAGCAAAGATGATTTTTGGAAAAATAGATCCTACTTTGGA